CTTACTCAATAATTTAATCTTCAGTTTTTTCTTAAAAGAGGAGAGGGATTGAGAGTTGATGACCTTGTTGTCAAGTGAATTAAAAAACTTAGGCCCTTGAAAAAAGGGCGAGAACTTCTTCGTGTTTGTACAACAATAGGGTAGACGATAGGCCTGGGAATTTCTTTTATTGTAAGAGTGGAATTGATTGATTTGAGAGAAATTGTTATTAAACTTTGGAGGTAAGAATGAATTTTTGCAAGAATACATAAATAAATTGGCCCAGTTGAAGCAAATGGATATCGTTAAATTTTCGTATACCGAGGTCCTTAAAGATGGGTTCAGTATGAGCATTGAAATGTGATTTATTAATAATTCTAATAATGCGCTTTTATTTGACAATTAATGAAAGAGGCTGAGTATCTTAGGAAGAATTATGGAGATCAAGGAGGGTGTTATCCGTTGAGGCTGTAGGCCGATGTGGATAACACCCAAAGAGATCTCCATACTTCTTCATATGATATGAAAGCCGAATTCAATAATTGTTTTATTATTCATTCAAAATAATTCCTAGTTTAAAAATATAGCTAAAACAAGCTTGCCTGTATCGATCTTAAGTTTATGTTCGATAGTTTACGTTTAGGTTTAACCAGCTCCACAAATATTCTCCAAATAGCAGATGTTGCCCTCCGAGTTGTCTTCTTCCTGTTTTTGCTATGTTGTTAGCCATTATTTCGCCTAGTTCCAGTTGTAGTTCTTACTCTTGAAACAAGTGAAGTGTCCGCCATTTTAGTTTTTACAACAAAAACAACTCAATCTTGTCCCCATGTCTTCTCGGTTAACGGTGCATTAACCTGTAGAAGGCTGCATTTTTGACATCATTTCCTTGTTAAACACAAAATTCTTCCAAATTTGGTCATCAGTAACTGGTTATGGTGAATTATGCGTGTGCTTTTAGCCAGTCAGGATTGGAGAAATATTTTGAATGAATAATAATAACATTTAATACCTTCAGGAAAGCCAACATATGCTGAGGGTCTGATATCAATGGGCTTGGCTCCAACAGAAACACTTGTTACACAAGGAACACGTCCTTGATCTTCACTAACATCAAGCCTAGCAGGCACTGGAGACATGGATCCATCTTCACTGGATTCTGAAGGAGAACTTGAAACATTGTGGCCATTGCATTCCTGGGAAGATGGATAAGCTGGCAGTCCTCTGAAGGATGCAATGTCTAGATTCTCTGAAAATCAAGACCAGGCAACTTATGAAACACATTAACTTTATTACTTTTGTTTGTTGTCTTAATACTTTTAAAGAAACAGCTTGAGGACTTTGAAGTTAATGATATCAGGTATAATGTAGCTAATATTAATAGAAGATTACCTTTATCTGATTCACTGACTCCAGTATCCTCACTGTAATGCTTCAAACACAAACAATGAACAACAATAAAAAAGCAATTGAGGTAAGTTATAATGTAGTATTATTAACATTGCTAAATTTCATAACTCAGAATGTTTTGGTAACTATTTTTGAAAACATACAAAACTATCTTGTTCAGTTTTAGGCCAATTTGCACTTTTTGTATAATCATTATTAGGAAGCTTAAGCAAAGACGTTTTTGAACTGTAACTTTGTAATTTTGGCATTCTTGGGCAGTGGTTTTGCCCAAATTTTCATGTAAATGGTTTCTATAAAGTAAGACACCTAGCAATACAAATTTGGAAGTACTGAGGTGTATAAAAAGCAAAGAGGTCTCACTTCTGGTTGACGTGCGTTGCTCAAAAACACCTTTCCTTAAGCTCCCTATTGACAGAGGCAAACGATCTACACCTATGTAACATTACCACAAGCACATAGCATGTAGTACTATCCAGATGTAAATTTTACCCTCAATAAATCCCTTCAAAATAATTACCTCAACTTCATCCTGTGGAAATGGGTGATTGTACGGGTAAATAATGGACCTAAAATCACTGTGACCTTTTGAGTAAGTTTCCCCCAAACACTTCTTGCTCTTGCGATTCAGATTGTTTTGAAGGTTCTTTTTTTGTCTACTGTACAATTCCTGCAAATAAACAAATTCACAAAATCAAGGTGGCTTCTTTTTGCAAAACCCCAATGAACACTCACTGTGTTAATTTCACTGTTTAAAGAGACAAAAACTAAATTTCCCCAATTTTACAATTAATGATTGCTGTAATATTTAGAAAAGGTACCTCAAGCTTTTGCTGCTTCTCTTTTACTGCCCTTTCCTTTAGTAGTCTGTCCTCGTGTAGCTTTTTTTTCCTTTCTGCTAACTGCTTTTCTATGTATTTCTGGGAAAAAAATTAAGAATTTAAGAGTACATGCCACTGAGTGACAAAAACATCTCTAATACAATATACAGCTCCAGCAGCAACTAAGGACAAAGAAGTGAAAATATATAAAAATAATATTATGATCATGATGATCATCATCACAACAGTACTCAACCACGCTTCAAATAATCAAACATAGCTACAAAGAGGACACTCTTTTCTTGTTCAAAAATAATAAAATGCAGTTAACTACTACTTGTTAGTCAGCAGTCAGTTTAGTGGTGCAGGAACAGTCAGCCTTGCTTGCATGACAGGACATCCAGGGCACCAACCCAGCTCTGTTGTTACATGTAATTAAATGTATTTTTTAGTAAAGGAGTAAATTCAGTTGTTAACACTATTTTTTCAGCATTATGCAATACGAAACAGCGTACAAAGAAAGTAGTGTCCGATAGCCCGGGACTAGTGGATTTTGCGATCGGGCTAGTAAATTCTGTTCCCAACTTGCCCGACGGGCTAGTGAAGTTTTTTGAAGAATTCAAATTACAGAAGAACTGTGAAATCAATCTGCTTATCAAAACGTTTTTGGGGCTAGTTGAAATGATGTTTGGGCTAGTGAATGTTAGCTTCAGCTTGCCCAAATGGCAAGCTGTAAAAATGACTTTCTTTGCACCCTGTGAAATTTGGGATACACATACCTTTACTTCATCCGTATCATAGTGTCTAACTTTTTGTCTGGGTGGATAAGAAGACATAGGTGGACCTATGAAAAAGAGTTCAGACAATTTTAAGGTTAATTCCTTGTTTGCATCAACCTTCAAATTCAAAAAATTCACTCAAGGGAAGACCATGCAGACCTTGTGATTGTGAATTAAGAGGCCTCTTCCTTCTGGATGTAGAGGATGGTTTATTAACTCTTGTCTGTTTTGGTTTGGGTCCTGCTACTGGCTTCTTCATCTCCTTGTCTGAAAAAATAATAGGAAACACATGCAGGTATAGCAGATGAGTTTACATGGTTATCAAGTAGTCCTATGTAATTTAAGTTGCAAGTACAGAAAAAGAGCACTTTATTGACTGTAAATTTATAATAATTATTTAGCACAAAAGTACAAATATTATTGAGGACAATATTTTATGACCCCCACTGAAGATGGGACCACCATTCTACATGGTCATCCGAGCCACATATCGAGGATGAAGGTCGAGCTGTTTGCAAGACCTTAAGTATAGGTTCGGCACGGGAGATCAAACTTCTGACCTCCCAATGTGCCTTCAAGCCCTCGACTGACTGAGCTAGTCCTGCTGCTGAAAGGCAAGGTGTCTGGGGGTACCATAATGTAAGAGAGACCCACCAGATTCATCGTCTGTGTCAAGTTCCAAGTCAGACAGGATGTTTTTAGCTTCTGTTGATAATATTTTGTTTCCCTTTAAATCCTTGACATCTTTTTCAGCATCCCTCACAGATTCCTTTGCATGACCTGAAGAGTGTACCCAAGATAATTCCGAATCTGATCCTGTTTCAGGAAAGTAGAATAAAGATGAAATTAATCTCTATGAATGTTGCACTTATATTGATGTCCTTAACATAATAAAAAAGTCTTATGGACTTCTTTTGAACATCTTTCAACAATAATGCAAATGCTACCCACCCAGACTAGTGATCACTATTTGCAGGACAGTGTAGATTTAACATCTTTATAACACTTGATCTTGAAAAGGAAACTTGTAATCTTATAAACTTGTTGAAAAGTAAAACAATTTTAAATTATAACTATTATAAGACCAATAAAGAATGCAAAAATGACTGGTTCTCATATGAGTGTCCATCTTTAGAAAGCTAATGAGGTTTCTACATTGTACCTAATAGTTAATCAAGGAAAATGAATGACAAACAGCAGTGATCAACTCTAGGTATTAAGGTTATTGTCTTAGAGTAGTCCGTAAAGCAAGAATCAGATGTAATCTAAAACCTGTAACATCACTAATACCACCACAACATGCTGGCTTATACAGTCAACTCTTGCCTTGTGGACACTCCGCTATAATACGGACAGCCGCTAAATCCCAGGCAGACGTTTGACCGAAATAAACTCCCGCTATTAGGGACTCTAACTAATGAGGACAGTGACTTGAGGTCCTTACACTATAAAGGGAGTTAACTGTATTACCTGAATCCTTCTTCAATCCATTAACAAGCTTTTGATTAGTTGGAGATGTCACTCTAGGCACCTCATCTGTTAGTGCGCCACCTTTCTCACTTCCATTTCCAACACCAGCATGTTTCTTCCCATCACCTTCATCTCGCCATTGAAAATTCAAGCTCTTTGGTTCTGAAATATCAGAGCCCTGGCTGCTTCTTGACTGAGGTCGACTTCCCTCAGGAGAAGAACTTTTCTTCTTGGCTGGACCCAAAATTCTTTTAACGGTCTGCTGACCAGAACGCCATGAAGATGTGGTGATGATATCAGTAGGACGGCGGGGAGCTATAACTCGCTGCACCTTTGGAGGTCCTGCAAAGGAAGGGCAACAAATTCAAAGGTTTCTTTTCAAGTTTTAAAACTGTTTATATTAATCCCTAAAACTCACATGTGGGCATGCCAGCGCATGCCCACATGAATCATTCCCGCCGCATTGTAGGGCTGATCTGGTGAAATACTGTCTTTCTCTTATTGTTTTTTTCCTCCCTGGATCTTCTGCTACTAAGAGACAGTACATGTAAGTGTGACAGGTACATGTACTTGGATGCCTTGTGTGGGGGCTCAAGGCTGGGATGTGAGATTGTCAGACAAACTAAGAATCTATTAGTTTAAAGGGACTGGCTGACCTCCGGTGGAATCCCCTGCACATCTCCATTAAACAATGCAGTTGTTCATTGGTACCAATCAGCGGAATTTGTTCCAAAAGCAAGCCGTTCATCTTCAGTCATCAACAACCTTAGATAAGTACTGTTATTACCTCAACTTTCATTTGTGATTAAGTGGTGGCATTTTAAAGGAATTATTGTAAAGTCCAGTTGATGTTTATGTTGCAGTTAATTTCTTATTTCAGTTGATTTTTGTGTTTTGTTTTTGGGTATGGTAATGCATGTTAATGAAGTTGAAACGAAGGGAAAACAAAAAGTAACTGCAACATTTAACCCTTTAAGTCCCAATAGTGACCAACAACAATTTTCTCCTAACAATATCCATACACTGTCAAGAGATAAAGTTATGAGAATTAATAAAATGATTATCACAGAGAAAATTCCATGATCTTTAATCCAATATTCTCAACTAATTCTTAAAGGATATGTATGGAGATCAGTTTGGAGAATTTGTATGTAGATATTGGGGCTTAAAGGGTTAACAATCAAAAAAAGCTGGGTTCATTTAAACTGTTCCATTACTTCATTTTTCACAAATTTTAATTTAAAGTTATCGTCAAATTAGTACAGCAAATGGAAATGACTCACCTTTCTTTGTTATTGGTTTCTGTGGCCTTTGGTTTGCAGGTTTTGTGATCAGTTTGTGTGTTGCAGGGTCCTTTCTCTTAACCTTTCGATTCACCTCAGATAACACGGTGGTCTTTGATTCTACCTCACTGAAGCCTATCAAAAAATCCTGACTCAGGGTATGTTTCTTTACTAAAATCCAAGATCAGATCAAAAATCCAGATCATTATCAGGATTTTTCATTGAGAAAAGAAACAAAGTATCCAAAAAGGGATTATTTTTCACTCATTTCCATAGAAACTGGAGAAAGAATAGCATGGCTGCTAACAAGGTTGCAAGTTTGCTGCTCTTTCATCGTATTCTGGATGGTTAGCCTTAGGATACTGCTTTAGATGGGCCAAATGAAATACACATGTAAGATATGTATTGAAAAAGGAAAGTCTTGCAAGATGTGCTGGCAAAGTTGTGTCAAAGTTTTTTCCTTGTAACTAGAACAATGCAGGTCCTGTTTGTATTGTGATTTTACCACTCTGATAAAACACATCAAATCAATCGTTTCATCCATGATTCCGTTTCAAAAATGGCCACAAAGATGAGCAGTCTTGTCAAAAGGCTAATGTATGTATTGAAATTGTTTCAAGTTACCGCTGGCAATATTCACTCTTTTCGGATCCAAAGTAAAGAAACGCTTCGGATCATACATATAAAGTATCCAGTTTTGGATATGATCTAAAGAATCCACCTCCATTGTGGATCATTTGGATCACTAACCCGTTTTGGGATTTTAGTAAAAAAAACAAAATATCTGTTTTCGGATTAAAAATCTGGATTTGGATGTTAGTAAAGAAATTCACCCTCAGATAGATTTGAAGTTGTATTGTCAATCAAGTACAAACTAAAGGAGAGAGCCTACAATGCTAAAACCTGATAAAAGACGGATAATCAGAAAAATAAATGTTTACGCTTAACATTTACAAACCATAGCTATTAATATCATTATTTATATTTCGCTCTAATTCACTGCACATGCTGCTAATTAAAATTCTATAGAAAACTCTGAGATGGTGCAAGAAGAAGAATCATGTTACCTTTATAAGCAGGGGCAGCAGGAGCAGAGGCCACTTTCCTCTTAGATATCACTCCAGCAGTTCTCACAGGAACATCTACATCAGCTCTGTAGGAATCTGCAGCTGTAGTAGAATCAACGCTTTGTACAGATGGTCTCTGTTCTGGTGGAGGTGAAGGATTGGAAGAACCATTCCCTATTAGAACAAAGTATAAAAATTAACCCATTACTTTAAGCCCTGATATCCACATACAAATTCTCTAGACTGACCTCCATACACAGGGTTCTCAATAGATTTTTAAGTAGGAGGTGATCACTGATAAAGTAGGAGGCTCTTCAGCGAAGCCAGAGGTGAGTTTTGTTTCGTTTCTTTTCGCTGGATTTGTGTTTCATTCGCCGATATTTAGGGTTTCATTCGCCGCTAGTTAGCGGCCCACGGCGGTTCTATTGAGAAACCTGATACAGTGTACATTTCCCTCAAGAGGTAGTTGAGAGAATTTGATAAAAGATCAAACCATTTTTCCTTTGGTGATTTTATTACAGTCAAACCTGTCAATGCTCACCCTTGGGAAATTACAAGGTGACCATTATATGCAGGGTGACCGCTATATACAGCTCAACTTTGCAGAAAAATATAAGGCAACTGAAAATTTTCGGAAGTTGTCCGGTGACAGCTAAATACAGGACCGTTATACACAGGTTTGACTGTAATTCTCATAACCGGTTTCTCTTCATAGTGTATTAACATTGTTAGGAGAAAACAGATGATGGTCATTCTTGGGGAAATAAAACGTAATGATTGGTTGTTACAGCCCTCTTCTCAATAGGCTGATTTAGCGACAAAACGGGAACGTCAGTTGATGACAGCACGCGCAAATCAAACAAATGGCTTGACCAACCGTAGAGCAGCAAATTGGGAAATGGAAGTAGCGTTTAGTCCTTTCCCCGCGCTTTCCCGTCGTCAACTGACATTCCCATTCTATTGCTAAATCAGCTTAATAAGTGTACAGACAGAGATCAATGATGTAATTGAAAGATTATTTCTTTGTTTTGTCTAACATGACACGTGGTTTTGAATTAATAGTTGAGAGTTTTTTACAGGTTGAGCAAGTGAAAGCTCAAAGAAAGTTTACCAGGAGACGTTTACAACATAAAAAAAAAAACAAGAAACTAACGATGAGAAGACTAGTGTTCTTGGCTACCTGAGAATGTCTAAACTGGAACAAATCTTCAAAAAAGTTATCACGACTAAGAAAGACTCAACCTCGCAGTTTTGAAAATGTACACATGATTATTCTGCTTTAAACAAGTGAAAGGTTATGAAAAGTTTGGGAGAAGCTCTTTACAAATATGATAAGGAGGAAAAGCAGATGACAGGACTAAAGTAGCATTGATGACTCAACTAGTCGAGTGCTATGAGGCAAGTTTATCAGTTTTCTTTTCTGTTCAACATATAACACAAATAAATTGCATTTTGCGCTCATTTTTCCACTTTGCTCATCAAAACAGAATATGTAAAACCATCCCCTGAGGATCTTCTATTAGGAAGGAACAGATGAAAAGAAACAAAAAAAAAAAACAGAATAGTAGGTGTTAGAATTAGTTGACTTGCTCCCAGAATGAATGCTTCTGCATTTTGAACTTAACTCCAATGATTCACTACACTCTTAAAAATATTTATGTACACAATTATTTAGTGACAGCATTACCTTGAGCACTATCAGTTGGACTCAGCCTTGAAGCTTGCTCTTTTTGCTGTTTTATTCTTTCTTTTAATCTTGCAAGAGCATCTGAACACAAACATCAGAATGTGAAGGTTAATCTTTAGGGATTAAGATGCAACAGGTTAGCAAACATGCGCAAATGATGCTCTACACAGGGGAACCCAATGAATTTTTTCTGTAAAACAACTGTTCAAAGGAGCAAATAATAAAATTATTGCAGGCCTAGAAAATAATTTCTAAATCTCGAGAAAAGTTAAAATTTCTGAATAAAAGTTCCTAAAAACTAGCCACCAAATTAATTTTATCCTGTATACAGTGCTATCCAACATCTAACCAACCGAGGCCAGAAAAACAATACCTGAATTGTTTGCTATTGTAGGTCTGAGTCCAAGGGAGGAAGTTGAGCATGCTTCATTTTGATGCACTCTTGACGAACTCTCTCCAATTTCTAAGGAGTCTTCAAAGCTAGAAGCAGATGGGATTGTTGAAAGGGTATTTCCATAAAGCCTGATAGGCGGTCTACGGCCCAAGGGATCATTTGCAGTATAAAGTGAAGAATATGCAGTGGCTACACCAGGGTCTCGCATTTCAGATTCAGGAGGGTGAGCAGAATAGGAAGGCACTGAATTTCTTGAAAATCTACCATTTGGAACCTTATCATGGATATCCTTAGAAGGTGGAGACAGAAGGGGAGTGTGTACAGGGGCTCTGGTAGATGACTCTGATGGTCTATTGATACTCTGTGGAACAAAAAAAATAGGACACGATACCATTGTGAGAATAAAAATGAAAGAATAATATTGTAACATTCAGCAACAACAATAGGATGGACACCTTTGGGACTGGCACTAAGTGTCTATCTTAGAGTGATGTCCGTCTTATAGAGTCAAATAGGATGGACACCTAGAGTTGCTTTCTGTCTTCCATTACAGTCAAACCTCTCTAAGATGGACACCTTTGGGACCGACACTAAGTGTCCGTCATAGACAGATGTTCATCTTATAGAGAGTCAAATAGAACAGACACCTAGAGTTGCTTTCTGTCTTCCATTACAGTCAAATCTCTCTAAGACAGAGACCTTTGGGGCCAACACTAAGTGTCCATCTTAGAGAGATGTCTGTCTTGTAGAGATTCAAATAGGATGGACACCTAGAGTTGCTTTCTGTCTTCCATTACAGTCAAATCTCTCTAAGGCAGACACCTTTGGGACCAACACTAAGTGTCGGTCTTAGAGAGATGTCTGTCTTATAGAGAGTCAAATAGGACGGACACCTAGAGTTGCTTTCTGTCTTCCATTACGGTCAAATCTCTCTAAGGCAGACACCTCTGGGAATGGCACTAAGTGTCCGTCTAAGAATGCTGTCGGTCTTATTAAAAGTTAAGAGAGGAGAAAAGAGAGGCAGGAACCAACTGATTTCATTCAATTTCAAACGCAAACTCATGCCAGATGAGTGTGAAAACCAGTGGTTTGTTTGACATTTGTTTCAAAATTAGAAATAGCGTGCCAACACGTACAATTTCCAAAAAAGAGACACTCGAAAGCTTTCGTGTGTCTTTTATTCTTCATTCTTAGCAAAAGATTATTTAAAGACAATGTAAACAAACCATGCATCTACGCTATTTTTATTCACTTTGTGGTATCATATTATGGTTACAGAAAGAACTGTGTGGAAACGGATTCGACAAAACATTAAAAATCCCAAAAAAAAGACACTCAGGGCATGATTAAAAACAACTTATTTTTATTTTTCTATTTTACAACTTTTTTAATCAGCCATTTTCTTTTCTCTTCTCCAACTATTTACAGCCGGTGAACACCTCAAAGTACCTGGCAATAGCACCAGTAACTGGTGCATTTTGATGACCCTGCATTGCTGTAGGTGTTCACTAAGAGAGAGTAAACTGTGGTTTACTGATATTACATTTTAAAGGAAAAGAAACACTAACATTGTAAGAAAGCGATATCATCCTTACCAAAGGGAAATCAGGAACTCTCCTTGAATTAAGTTGGTCTTCTCCAAATGAGGGTACAGAAGACGCAGCTTGTCCAAAGCGACTGGGCCTCAGTTCATACCTGGCAACTCTCCCATATCTTTGTCTCTCTGAGAAGACCTCTTGCAGTGAAACATCAACTTCTCCATTTTGCTCCACTTCAGAGCCAAGTCCTGCATTTGCTTCATTAATCCTGGCTTCTGCATCTTGTAGCTAAAAACAACAACAACAAAATCAACATTCATATATAGTCACACACTCACATGGCATTTTGATAGTAATCAGAAGGAATGGGTGAAAAAATAAAATAGCAAATAATCAATGAAAGGGAAATAGGGATATTTAAGTTAAGCATTTCATCGTATATACATTATTATTATTACTATTATTATCATTATTATTATTATTATTGGTACCGCACAGTTTCTATGAAAATATTCAACTGCACCTTACATAAGAAATTAATTAACACTTTAACTTCAACAGTGCGGATTGGTTCTCCGATAATCTGCAAGTGAGCTCCAGCTGATATTTGCAAACAATGAGAAAGGAATTTAACCACTCATTTCAGCAGATGTTAGTGGGGCAAGAACGTGTGATGAACACCTAAGAACGTCTGCGTGAGAGACACAGCGGCCATCTTGACCAAACAAGCTCAGTCAAATAAAGAATTTGTAGTGGCCAAGAGAACTTTTTTTCCTTGTGGCACCAACGTGGAAAACTCCAAGTGGGCATGACAGGCCTTGCGTATCTTGTGCACTAAGGTAGCCGAAAAGAATGCAGGATTTACTTCATCTTGCCCACTCACAGAAGCAGCCATAATAAGGGAACATCTTCCTCTATTGTGCAAATTCAGTTGTATATAGGTGGTAAAATTGCTATTTTCTAAGAAACTGTAACAACTAGTTATCTATGATAACTATTAAAATATTGATTGCTATTGATTGTATTGACGCTAGTCGATTTTATAAAGTATGACCATGTTTTATATTGATGACTTCGTTAAACAAACTCTTCTACCGGGACAATGGAAACAAAGGTATATATAATGTGGCTCAAAACAAACTTGAGAAAAATATGACCTTAAAGACTGGGACAAGTTTTAAAAACAGAGGAACACTTTCTGTAACAAGTTTAATGTTACTGAAAAAAGTAAATACAAATCCCTTCTTTATTTAACAGGTAAACCAGTCCAGACAACAGCTGAAAAGAAACCAGACAAAATGGCTTAAATTTCACTTACCGCAGACTTCACTTCTCCGACATTTTCCCATGCAGCTGCTAAATCTACAAAGTGGAAAGATTATTTACCTTATGACACTGAGAAACGAAATTCGTTCACTAAAATTTAAGTTTTGCGCTGCTTTCAACCGCACGGCCCTGTAATTCTAATAAACAGATCGATTTGATCAAAACAAAAGCGTGAGCTTTAATCGAAATCTGACCTTACATAAGATCAACAAAGTGAAAGTAAACTTATTTCGAGGAAAACTGTGCGCGTTGTTGAAATAACGTTTAAAACGACTACCTGAAAAAGATGAGGGGTATTTTCGATCCCTTGGCAAAGGGCCACGTTGAAGTGGTATGGGATCAACGACGCGCCGACCACGAAACGTCGATGAAGCCATGGAACAACGACACTCTAAGTTGGTGACCAAAGGGAAGCACAACACAACAACCGAACTTCCGCCATAACCAGCCGCGTTTATAAAACCAGATGAGGGATTTCACTGGATCGAAGACTTGTCTACATTTGTGACACAAGAATTCTCTTGTGTTCTGTAATTGGGCACTTTCAAACGGCTTGAAATCATTCATCTATTTCGGGTAAATGACTTTACCATCACAGCCCGCCATTTTTTGTTTTCGGGGCAAAGCAGCGTGGGTAATTTTCAGCGCGTGGGGTCTCATGGGACGAGCGCGTGTGCACGTCGCTGAAACGAGTGAGTAGCGCGCTTCACGCGAGATCGCCGCGGTTGCACTTTCTTTTCTCTGAGCTGTGTAGGACTGACATCTATTGCAACTGAAGCATGCAGCAAACTGGAAGGCCAGGTGCAGGGAGGATCCAGAAAATTCAGAAACGGACCACCAGAACACTTTCCAGCTATATATACTTTTTATTTCACTGAGAATTGTTTGGAAAATAATAGAAAACATCACCGATAAAAAGGTCACCGCGGTCTCTTCTCGGCCCCACCCCTATGAAGTCCACCGGTACAGTTAAATCCTTCAAGTACAATGGAATGGTCAAACTCGATATTCCTACAATTAAACTAACACTAACTTTTCAAAAGCCAGTGATACTATGCCGCTCATACAGTAACCAAAAACGTGGTCGGGTACCAGATTTCCGAAAGGTTATACGGACCAACACTCAGTCTCTGTGATCGTAAAATCCGAGGAGAGTGAAGGAAACCCTCCCTCTCCATGCAATTTTTTCACCCTTCCCCCAAACAGAGAGCCTGTTCACAGGCTATCTGAGTTCGAGTTAGCGAGGTTCTAGTTTTAACCCTCCCTCCAGGTCCGTTCTCGAAATACTTAGGATGAAACTTAACTGACTGAAAAAAATGCTCTGGCACTCAGGTTCGTGGTTCAACGTATATGTTTCCTGTTTCCTCCTCACTGCCTCGTCTCTACAGTTTATGGTACCGTAATCTCTCCCTCCAGTCCGATGACTTCTTTCTCTACGGATGCGCCCTTTTACTTACAGCTCCTCTTATAATTTCTGCAGCGCAGGATCAAGGTTATGGGCTTCTGTTTTGGCTCATGAAATCTTGCAACTCTCACTTAGTAGCGGTTTATTTTTTTCTGTCATTTCCCCCGCCCCCCTCCACCCCGCCCCGAAATCTGGAGGTCACTTTGCAAGCGATCTGGGTCGAGTTAGGCCGGTTTCGAAAATTTGCAAGGAACCATTTTTGGAACGTTTCTTNTCTCTGTGATCGTAAAATCCGAGGAGAGTGAAGGAAACCCTCCCTCTCCATGCAATTTTTTCACCCTTCCCCCAAACAGAGAGCCTGTTCACAGGCTATCTGAGTTCGAGTCAGCGAGGTTCTAGTTTTAACCCTCCCTCCAGGTCCGTTCTCGAAAAACTGAGGATGAAACTTAACTGACTAAAAAAAATGCTCTGGCACTCAGGTTCGTGGTTCAACGTATATGTTTCCTGTTTCCTCCTCACTGCCTCGTCTCTACAGTTTATGGTACCGTAATCTCTCCCTCCAGTCCGATGACTTCTTTCTCTACGGATGCGCCCTTTTACTTACAGCTCCTCTTATAATTTCTGCAGCGCAGGATCAAGGTTATGGGCTCCTGTTTTGGCTCATGAAATCTTGCAACTCTCACTTAGTAGCGGTTTATTTTTTCTGTCATTTCCCCCGCCCCCTCCACCCCGCCCCGAAATCTGGAGGTCACTTTGCAAGCGATCTGGGTCGAGTTAGGCCGGTTTCGAAAATTTGCAAGGAACCATTTTTGGAACGTTTCTTCAGTCAATCACTCATTCAGAAATCAACATACATGCTTAGGCTGCAATCAGTTCCATAGGTAACAAGTTACTTAACTCGACTTAACTGCTTTGTGGAGTTGCGATGTACTATTTTACCGCTGTCTTCATGCAGAATACGTTTGGGACTAGTTAAATAATAATTTATTACAAAGCCGCAGCGGTTACGGTAATTGCATGAACTTCACGAAAATCTTCTGTTAGTTGCCGCTCCGCTGTAAATTTTTCTGTTCTTGACAACCAGCCACTAAACTAGAAGTCTATGGTTTTCTGAGTTCTAAAGGAAACAATGGCAGTTCAAGCTTCATGCATGGAGCTGGCTTTAGAGGGAGAAAGACTCTGTAAGGCTGGCGATTGTCGCGCCGGGGTAAGCTTCTTCGAAGCAGCCGTTCAAGTTGGAACTGAAGATTTGAAAACGTTAAGTGCTGTGTATAGTCAATTAGGAAACGCTTATTTTTACCTCCAAGAATACGAGAAAGCCTTGGAATTCCATCGTCATGATCTTACATTAGCTAGGACGCTCGGAGACAAAGTTGGGGAGGCCAAAGCGAGCGGGAATCTTGGAAACACGTTGAAGGTTTTGGGCAAATTTGACGAAGCTATAGTCTGCTGTACTCGACATCTTGATATCTCGCGGGAGCTTGGCGATAAGGTGAGATTAAAGAATTTATTGGCTGAAGGTTATAACTATCGTAACAAGCGGCAATAAGACGCGGAAAGTAATTTTAATCGTGCAATTGAGTTCAAAGGTGAAGAAATCGAATGGTCACGAACTTCATGCATGGAGTCATCATCTGCGCGCAATGGAATTGATTGAAATTGAGCCAATTTTGTAGTCGTCTATTTTTTGCACTTCTTTGTTATCGGAAGTTTATATTGTATAGTACTGCTTCCTTGGACAGGTGTTTTCAACGACATGCGATCGATATATTTGTTTCTGTTGCCACAATTTATCGAGCTTAGTAAGTGATTAAAACGATAAAGAGTATAGTATTGTTGCTATAGTCTCGCTGAAGAATTCGATTTAGATATCACATCAAAGATCGAATGGTAATTTCGAATTCGCTCTTTGTCGCTCAACTTTCTTTTAACTTACATGTATTTATGGGAGAAATTCAAACCTAGTCCTTGCAGTTCGGTGTTCAAATGTTCATACCGTAAATTTGGCAAGTGCTGACGGCAAAATAGCGATCATTGATCGCCATTTAGGGAGCGCTCCTCGGAACAAACCCGTGCTTCTTGTTGTTCGTTGCAAGCTCAAACATATTGAAATATTAAAAGCTAATCATTTGAATTTTCAGTAAGATATAATCAAATTGAGCAACATTTTTTCCTGGATAAAGAAATGCGTCGCTGACCCACTTTTAAATTTTTTGTATCCAGGGTTTTTACTGAATGTACGTAAAAACTGAAGGTGTACATTTCAGTATTTATTTATTAGTCTTTTCATGGAAATCAAAGTTTGGTTAATTGTTTTTATGTCTCGATTGATTTGACCCGGATCCTTCAATTAACGAATTTTTCGGTTTCATATTTGACAATTTGGAGAAAGTTTAGTCATACTTTATTCAAACGTGATGTTTCATAACTATTATCAGTCAGTTAGTAACCAAACTATGTAAGTTGATTATGGCAATAATATGTAAATTACTTTACCCAATGCGTAGCTCAGGGGAGGAAGAAACAGACGATGTTTCCTATTTGGTTTTGTTTTTTATTGTTTTGGGGTTTTGTTTCTGTTTTCTGTTTTGTTTTTGTAAGGCTTCAGTTCGTGCTAATGAAGTGAACTTTCAAAATAATATTATTCATTCCTATAAAACATTCTCAAATTTTTATCGTTGTTTCCAATGAGGGTATTATTAAACAGTGAACCAAACAGCTCTTCTGCAGTGAAGTTATATTTATATGTTTTAACGTGCCATCTATTGCTCAATGTTTCTCCACAAATCAGCTGCACTACTGTTTATGCTTTTTATTTGTTGACAAATACCTTTCGGGCTTGGGATGGATTAGATAAAAAATAATACTTTGTTGACATAGACTTTACATGTTTGTTCTACCTTGGTTCTAAGCGAAATATTTACTTGGGCTAGTAGGCAACAAGTTAGGAACTCAGCCCTGTTTCCAGTTTATGTACATGTAAAACTTGGTTATTGTTTAGTTAATGCCACTGAGGAAAAAGCTAGGATAATACCCATGGTTACCACTGACGGGTCTTTCATGTCTTTATGAGTTTTCAACATCTGTTGCTCCATTTCTATGATATACTAAAATGAAGCTACAGTAGCTAATGGGAATTTTTTGCAAATTAGAGTGGTGTATGCAGTTTGTTTCCTTAGAAATATAAAGGAACTTGGGAGGATATTCTAGCAGTTTATCAAAGGTTAGGTTGGAATAGGTTTGTAAGCTTTCTCACAACTGTAACAACTGTATGCCCTGTTGAAAAAAAAGAACAAAGGAAAAATTATCTTGACATCAGGGATGCATAATACAGGACTGAAAAAAAGCCCTGTCTTTTAGTCTGGCACAAGTAGATTTTCTTGCTGGGCAAGTAACTTTTAAAGTTCATTTGCCCAATTGGCAAGGCAAAAACAAAATCATTAAAGGTGATGTTACAGGGAATGATTCGCAATGACAATTTTAAGTGCAAAACAGCGTTGCAATATTGGAACAATGTTGCAACCATTCGAAACAATGTTGCAACAATGACGCAACACTGTGTTGCGCTAAAAATCATCGTTGCGAGTTGTCTTGTGTAACATCCACCTTAAATGTGGCTAAATGTAATTTAGGCTAAGTTAAACGCGAGACAATGCTGGCCAGCGGTCTCCTTCACTAATTGTATGTGGGGGGGTCTCGGGGTTTAGCAGGGCCGTAGTGATTTTACAGTGCTTTCGCAGGAGTCAATCAGCTTTTGGGTGCAGTAGTTATAGCTGTTTTTTGCACTAAGATAAGCAAGAAGTGGCCCTGGATAAGCAATATCTGAGAGCTTCTTGTGGGAATTCGAGTTGTTTTCAAGCCTTGATGATGTAAGGTGGCAAAGGGGTGGGTAACCCATCACACATCACGCTGACTTTTTTAAGCTAGCACACATCACAGAAAAATAAAATGAAACATTAACAAGTATCCTATTATTATTTGATCTGAGGAAATCAGAGGTCAAGGAATGTTAAAAAAAGGGCAAAGCTACCTATTTTTAATATCTGTGCTTCAATTTTAATGATATTGACCATCACAGAAATTTCAAAGGAAAATCACGCGTCAGGCTTTGTGAAAGTAGTAAATCGTGCATCACACTGTTATGCCCAATCCCGCCTCATGCGGCTCATTTGGGCCCGATCAGGCATCAAGCTGATAATTTGGGTCCCATCGCATGTCACGGAAAACCCCTTTGCCACCCTGATGATAGATAGATCACAGGTAACAACCATTCACAGCACTCTTGTAGTATTCTCATTCAGCATGTTGTATGAACTCTTACTGAGAAAAAATGTCAACCAGTGAGCATTCAATAAAATTATTATTATTATTTTATTATTATTATTATATTGTTGTTATTGGAAAAGGTTATCAAAATTAATATGGACAATGTGTATGTTGGAGATCAAATTTGATCTAGTCAAACCTGTGTTCAACAGTCACCCTTGGGAAATGGCAAGGTGACTGTTATAACAGGGTGACCGATATATACAGGTCAACTTTGCAGAAAATATTGGGCAACTGAAAATTTTGGGAAGTTATCCAGTGACCGCAATATATACGGTGACAACTATTGCATATAGAGCCATTCTCTGAGGTTTGACTGTATCAGAATCAGGTAAAAAAAATTTAACCTGTGTTGATTCTAAATTTCCTTTGTTTTTTAGGGCTTGGAGACATTGGAAATTGAAAATCAACCTAGGTTAAATCAAAATTAAGCTTAAATCAAATTGGATAGCTGTAACAGGTACATGTACATCTCAAGTGGATCTTTCACAAACTTGAGAAAGAAAGTTCCAGTGATTGTTATTAATTTGACATATTATAAAATGTTTTTATCTCCTAGATTGGTGAAGCAAGAGCTTTATATAACTTAGGGAATGTATACCATGCTAAAGGAAAACACTTTGGAAGAAACTTTCACCAGGACCCTGGAGAGTTTCCTGATGAAGTTCGATTGGCACTGGAAAGAGCAATTGAATTTTATGAGTAAGACAATGTTTTGTCCTATTAAGAAGTGATTTATAGGGAAACCAGCCTCAAGGTACACTGTGACTGCTGTGATGGACACAATTATTGCTAAATGTTTTTTTCATTTGATATGATGTTTGTTATTGTGAAAGGTTTGAACCCAGGGTCATTTCGTAAGTAGGTGGAACATGATCGCGGTGTTATTGGCTAGGAATACTCCACATGATATTTAAAGTCTTCACAGACAGTAACATCAGGGTTAATTGACAGATGACCAATAACATCGTGACTTTATTGACCAATCAGATCAATAAGCAGAGTTAAATGAGGCTGTCACTAAGGGCCCAGGGTGGTGGATTTCACCCGGCTACTATGAGCCCAAGCCGTGGCTACTTTCATAAGAAACAAAAGGGAAATGAGATCAAAAGGACTCCCTGGCTGTCCAGTTCCCCACCTACTAACTGCATAAACTGGGCAACTTGAAATCTTAGCGATAGCCCTGGTTTAACACAATCAACTCACGTTGACGCTAAAGATGAGTATCGCACAGGTTTCCAAGTGTCAGTCACTGTCAACAACAATCCTCTCCAGGACTACTCTCACCTGGATTATTATACTCCACCTACCATGTGTACTTATAGTATTTATTGCTACTGTCCCTGAACATTTCCTTTCAATGATCATATGCCAACTCTCCTGGATTATCCAGGAGTGTCCAGGATATGGCACTGATCTCCCGCTCTTCTGCACGGGTCACCAAATCTCCCTGATAAAATGGACTTTTGAGCTTTTCTGTGCTTCAGTTTGAAATTTAGCCCATTTTTTTTCTCAAAATTCGAACTTTTTTATTCATAATATGGTTTCTGGAACATTCTTGCACATATTTAGTCACTGAAAGAGATTATTTTTGTCATTACAATGATGAAAGGGAATTTTGATAGCATGTGCTTTATGTAAGACTTCCTATACAGTAAAGTTCGGAAAGTAACGCCCTTTGGAAGTAGCAGATCTCTAAAAGTAGCGACAAAATGTCACAGGTGTTTTCAAATCCCAAAAGTAGCGATCCCCTGAAAATAGTGACCCTCCGAAGGTGGAGACATTAAAACTAATTTCTCTTTTTGCAAAAAAAAATGGATATGATAGATATATACTGAACAAAAGCCACACTGATGCGAGGTTTATTAATAATGATTATTTGACATTCCTATTCATAACACTTAAAGTACAGGATATACATTACCTTTATTAAAAAAGTATTCCTTTCACATTTTTTGCGACTTTATTTTCTGAAGTGCCCTTATGGTGTACACGTTTTAGCCATCCAAAAGTAACAACCCCCCAAAAGTAGCGATCAGCCTCTGAAAGTAGTGATAGCAGAAGGGTGCTAACTCGTTACTTTCAAAACTTTATGGTCATGTCCTTAGCCATGGTGGCTGGGTCAATTTGTGGGTGGGGAGTGGTGGGGCTGTTGACATTCAGGTGTAGGGGGGTAGTGCAAAATAGAGAGACTCCAGATTGAAGATCTCTTGAGGTTGACCTCTCTGCATGCACTGTAATGGAATGAGCTTTGACATGTTTGTTTGGTTTATTTTCAGGGCTAATCTGGCCATTGTAAAAGAACTTGGGGATAGAGGGGCTCAAGGAAGAGCCTGTGGTAATCTGGGCAACACTCACTATCTCCTTGGAAACTTTGAACTGGCTATCATGTTCCACGAGGAGGTAAGGGTTTTAAATAAATTATTAGAAGTACAGTCGACTCCCGGTAACTCAAACCCTCTATAACTCGAACCTCCTACTAACTCTAAGCAATTTTCGTTTCCCATCAGATCATTTTCTATGTAATTTTACCCTTGATAACTCAAACTCCCGATAACTCCAACTGTTTGCAATTGGTTTCCCTAATATTTATCTCATAGATAGTGATTTATCCGGTGGATAGCACTATCCAACATCTGGACAACTGGGGCCAGGTTTCATAGCTACACAATCAATTCTTACAAGCATTAAAAAAATGAACATTTGCACATAAAAGAATTCTGCATAAACCTACAAAGAAATGTGGAAAAAAAGTAACTGAAAAACAGCATTTGTGTAACCAGAAGCGCCTTTGGTGTAACTAATGCATAACATATCTTGGGGGTCCCTTGAAAGCACATCATCATTAAGCTAAATGTTTAATTCGGATTTTATGATATATTTTGTGTTTATGACATTATTAAAACTAGCTGCTTCTTTTTGGGGGAAAAAAGTAGGTGACTGCTCTAAGCAGAGTAGCTGATGTGTTTCATCAGTCGTCAGTGCTTAGGGGAGAGGGGTGAGACCTGTTTCTTCGGAGGAAGGACTGGGGTTCTAAGTCCCAGCATTTCTACAATGGAAACTCTTGCAAGTGGACAGCTCTACTTACAGCCACCTTCACCTTGTTTCAACTCCCATACAAACTCTGTATTTTTACATTCCTGTAAGCGGACATTCCCGTAAGTGGCCGCAGACACTTTGCATTATGTAACACTTTCAGGGTTTACAAGTTAGATTTTAGCTTTCTTTTTAAGCTCCCTTAAGCAGACCCTCAAAATGAAATGAAATCTCATTTGCCCCTGATTCTTGGATTTTGATAGATCAACTTTAAATCACTGTTCATCACAATGAATTTATTTATTTTATATCAGTTTCATTGTTTGTTTGTTTGTTTGTGTTTTTTCACGTACACATCCAGTTACCGGTACTCTTCAAATCACCACTTGAATTTTATGCTTGTGACTGGATTACAACACCATTAGAACAACAGTATACCATAACCAAACACTAACAAACAGTTCTTTTTTACATGCCCAATGTTTATTTGTAGCTGTGCAAGTTCCCGTAAGCAGCCATCTAACCCTTACACCTCAAGTGGCTGATACGAGAACGATTCTCTTAGGCAGCCAGCATCCGGAGGGTGTCCCTTTACGAGAGTTCCCATTGTATTATCAGCAGATGCCATCAAGTTGTTTAATGATTGATTCGAACACTTGGCTATTTGCTTTAATTTATGTCTCTGTAAGCGTGCAGTAATAAAACATTAATTTTATTCTAACTATTGCAATTTTTCTTCTGGCATTATAGAGGCTGGCTATTGCAGAGGAATTCAATGACAAACCAGCAGAGAGAAGAGCTTGCAGCAATCTAGGAAATGCTCACGTCTTTCTTGGCGAGTTTGAGANCTTGAATTTTATGCTTGTGACTGGATTACAACACCATTAGAACAACAGTATACCATAACCAAACACTAACAAACAGTTCTTTTTTACATGCCCAATGTTTATTTGTAGCTGTGCAAGTTCCCGTAAGCAGCCATCTAACCCTTACACCTCAAGTGGCTGATACGAGAACGATTCTCTTAGGCAGCCAGCATCCGGAGGGTGTCCCTTTACGAGAGTTCCCATTGTATTATCAGCAGATGCCATCAAGTTGTTTAATGATTGATTCGAACACTTGGCTATTTGCTTTAATTTATGTCTCTGTAAGCGTGCAGTAATAAAACATTAATTTTATTCTAACTATTGCAATTTTTCTTCTGGCATTATAGAGGCTGGCTATTGCAGAGGAATTCAATGACAAACCAGCAGAGAGAAGAGCTTGCAGCAATCTAGGAAATGCTCACGTCTTTCTTGGCGAGTTTGAGACTGCAGCAGAGTATTACAAGTGTGTACAGAATGAAATTTTTTGCAATAAATAAAGGCTGTGCTCTTGCAGTACGTGTTGCCCTCTAGCAGCTAACTCTTGCACCCAGGCAACTAAAAAATCATAGCTGGAGCTTTCCAAAAGTCAGAACTAGCCAGCCGGACAGGGTTGTCAAAAGTAGCCGGCTGTTGGCGAAAATCTCCACCTACTTGATTAGTGTCATTTCTTTACAGATGGCATTTTTTAAATAAAATATCCCTGGCCGCTTACTTTGACAACCCTGCCGGACCAAGGCTAGGCCGGTCATTTTGAAAATGAATTAGGCTTTTTCCAAGAGTTTTCGATGAAAATGATTTCCTTCATGCATGCTATTTAGGATTTGACTGATCTGGCTTGATAGCTTTGATTAAATGGTAATGGCCTGGCTGGTCAGTTCTGACAAATGGAATTAAGCACCCTTGGTTTTTTCATAGAAAGCATACACCAGGCAGCCTCGCTTCACACGCTCAGAGCACTTGGCTCCCTTCACCTATTCTTAGAGCACAGCCTTGAATAATTATTAAGGCACCAATTGGGGGCTTAGGTTGACCAAGTACAGTGTAACTGTAATTTGTATGAAATTGTTCACCCAAGCTCATTTCTGGCTGCTCACTAATGTACATGTAGAAAAGGACTGTTGATGGTTTCCTAGATTGCTCTGATTTAACAGTAAACTCAGTTTAGGAATCTGTGTGTGTGCTCTCAGACAAGGCTTTCATGATGTCAGGGTTCATGACTTGTTAAAATATAAGAAAACATTATAGAGCTGGCCCCAGTTGTTCAAAAGGTGGACAATACTATTCACTAGACAAATCTGAGTCTATCAAGTGGATTATACAATAAATTGATTTCCCTATGCCTGATACTTATCCACTAGACAGTGATTTATCTTGGTGGATAGCGCTATCTAATGGAGAAATCTCTATCCACTGGATAACACAATAATTGGTTTCCCTGACACTTATCTGCTGGATAGTGTCATTTTTCCGGTGGATACTGCTACCCACTGGATAAGTCTGTAACCACTGGGTAGTGCAATATTGGTTTCCCTAATACTTGCCTGCTGGATAGTGATTTATCTGTTAGATAGTGCTATCCAACGTTTGAACAACCCAGGAGTGGTTTGATACAATTTTAGGAATGACTTACAAGGGAGATAAAAATTAATGCTGTAAGAGAGAGAGAGTGAGAGGTGATCAGCATTGGGATTAACCAGCCAGACATATATAGCCATGGGATCTGTTTCCAACCCACTCACTAGTGTGACAACCCTCTGCTATCATGACTATATAATTATACCTTAAGCATGTGACAGTGAGAGGTTTGATTGGCCCTGCCATCATTCTGATTTAGAAGCTAGTTTGAGTTGAAAGCTTAGTTTTCTTCTTCTTTACTAGTGTGGAATTAAAATTTCTAATCTATTGTTACAGAAATAATGCTTAATAATTTTCGTGAAAGTTTACTATTGAATTGCTATTATTGCCTTTTTCATTCTGTAGGAGAACACTCACCATATCACGAGAACTAGGGGACAGGGCTATTGAAGCACAGGTGACTATGAATGATGAATCTCTTCCATATATCTTCCTAGCATGTGGCACTTAATTTCTGCTGGTTTATAATTTCTCTGAGTTTTGAGGAATTGTTTTGTTTTGTTTTGTTTGTTTTTTTTATCTGCTAAAATTTCAATTTAGAAAAACTGTAGGTTGGATGTTTCATGGTAGTCTGTGCAGCACTTTAATAAATGTAGCATTTTCATTTTGAATAAAAATACAAACCAGTGAATGTTAAATAATTTAACGTTTACTGGTTTGTAGGTTCCAGCTTTTCTTTGGAAGTCCCTTGTAGTTCTTTCTCAAAAGATGTACCCACCCTGAAAGCTTTCTCTCTCATTAATCACAACTTGCCTTGACCTAAAGCTAGTTAAATGATAAACTCAAACACCACTTATCCCTTGGCCTGCAAATAAGGCCGTCTCCTTGCTCCCTGCTGCTAGGGATATTGTCCCTTGTGGCGATGAGAAATGAGAGACGGCTGTTTTCACAGGCTACTTAGCCTTGAACTAACTTAATCTTAGACACTAGTGCATTGAAACTAGAGTGTAACATTACTTTATTTTTACCTTATGAACAATCCTGTCTTTTCCTTCTCTTGAGATATTTTTCTTGATGTGTTTAGGCTTGTTACAGTTTAGGGAACACATACACTCTACTGAGAGATTATCAGCAGGCAGTGAACTTTCACTCAAAGCATTTGGAGATTGCCCAGGAATTAGGTGACAGGTGAGGTGCAAAACAATGAGAATTTATGATGTGATCACAAAATGATGGAGTTACTCGTTGGAAAATTTCAAAAACACCCTAAAGAGCTTAGATAATCACGTCTTCTGAGGACCCAGTTGTTCGAAGGCTTATTGCTAATCCGGGGTTAAATTTTAATCCAAGTTTCTCTTTCTTTTGTTCAAACTCCTTTTCCCGGATAATTTTCTCTTTTTTTAGGGCATCCAATCACCAAAGCGTACACAAAAAGAATTAAACTGAGTTTGCTGTTTAAGCTTTCATATCTGAATTCAAATTTTGCACTAACCCTATCCCAGCTCTCCCGGAATATCTGGGAATCTCCCTGATACGGCACAAATCTCCCGCTTTCACGTGCGGGTCATGATTATTAATATTCTCCTGGTTAACATTGAGCTTTGAGTTCTTCTGTGCTTTAGTTTGGAACTTAGCCCATTTTTCCCTAAAATTTAACACTGCATTTTCATCAAAGTAAGGTTTCTGTGGCACCTTTGCACGTAGAACATCACAGACAAGACTGCCTTGTCAGAAAGCAAATTTTGACGGACTGTCTTTCATGTACGACTTCTTATAATGTCCTGAGCCACACTTATGTCATAATTTGGAGACTAGGTCGGGTTGTCTTTATGACGAGGGAGGGGGTAGTTGATGTTGGAAGGTACAGTACTGCAAAAGAGACTGTCTCCAAATTTTTGTGACGCACGTGCGTCCGCACGTGCAACGTTGATGTTTTGCCAATGTGAAATTATTACGCTTTTTTGACGTTCTCATTGCCCTTGGTGTCGTCGTAGCTTTGCATTATGTAACAACAACTTGTTTAAGCATTTTTCTTTCAATTTTCTGCATTAGTGGCGGTTGTTAAGAACGAGTCACTTGCAAACAAATTAATATGCACTGTTTGTTCAGACTATCTGGCAATTTCTCTCCTTTTATTTCTTGTAAAATTCCCCCAAAAAGTACGATTTTTTTTATGAGATTTTTCCGTGGCCGTTTAAAAACTAGCCTTTCATGCACAGTGTTTTTGGTTTACTTTAGCAACGCCACCTCGCGAATATTGTTTTACCGCTAGCAGAACCCAACATTTAGCAACAATGGCCGCCTCATGCCACAGAGGGCCGTTAACACGTCTTATTGATCACGATTTACATATCACTTCATGTGTACATTATAGAGTCAAAATTCAAAGTACATCATTACGGGGGTTTTGTCTACTGGCCACTATTCTCTGCTTTTGATTGTATGTCATTTTGTACGCACGTACTGTTGAAACAGTCCAATTTATTGTCATTGCAGAGTGGGAGAAGGTCGCGCTTGTTGGAGTTTGGGAAATGCTCATACTGCTTTGGGAAATCACGAAACGGCTCTAGATTTTGCTCAGAGGCATTTGGATATCTCAAAGGAGGTAAGAGAATGGTCGTCTTGATTTCATATGAAACAAAACCTTCATACTTCACGCTACTGAACGTGCTCAATCAGCAGACCTGGTTAATTTTAGCCCTCTCACTCCCATAAGTGGCTAGAGTCAGAATTCATCTTAATTTCCAAATTTCGTTTTGTCAAATATTGCGAAATAAATAGTACCATCTGAAAGTGCTGCTAAAGAGGTTTCATTTGAGTGGTCACACCATGGTATTTCGTCCACAGACTCAAAAGTAAGAACTATTTACTAAGTGAATAGTACCATGCGAAAGTACTGCTGGAGAGGTTTCATTTGAATGGTTACACCATAGGGTTTCATCCACACACTCAAAAGCTAGAACCACCTTCATTCACTCTGGAATCAGGAATAAAGGTTTAAAAATAGTTTGAGGCTTGCATCATCAATTTTCTTTGCGATGTGAGAATGTTTTGTGGTCGATAGAGCAGATCCAGCTTAAATAAGGAAAAAATACAAGCCCGTTTTCCGCGTGCTTCTAGGGGACCGTGTCGTAGTCGTGCTGGGTATCACCTTCTGTTACTGTAAAAGATTTTACCATTTTTTTCTTTAGCGGCTGTTTCAGTTGTCTAATGTGGCACGTTTAATTTACTACTAAGATAAATTTGCTTTGCGAAAGAGAGGAAGTTACGATAAGCAATTTCTTAAAGCTGAAGAACAACGCACTAAATGGAAGCTTTTACTCAAAATTGTCCCATTTAAATTAGGAGGCGTTTTCCTATTTCGACTTGTCATTCTTAATTTTCGCAATAATCAGTAGATAACCGAAGACCATTACACAAAACGACGTTTCCATTGTTTGAATTATATCTAAGCGGGTAATTTTTGTATGCACTTCAAGGCTTAAAGTCTCTAAATTCCGTTTATGTGCCGTAATCTTAATTCCCATCTCACTTGCAAAGCGCGCGCTGTTTTTGCTATTCGCTTTCGAATTTTTCACTTTTTGTTCTTTTCCTCTATTTTGTGCTTTTGCTAAAAGAAATTCATAATTGTAAACATATTTGCCTAAAAGAAGCCATGTCTTTGTTGATTAATCGCGCCTGTGTAAATCCTGCTAGGACAACCGAATTTAGCCCATAAGCATCCTAATGTTTTTTAAACTGTCAGCTTTCGTCACACTTTTGATTTGCAAATCAAGCGTTTGTCCTCGACAGTTCTCTGGGGCGTCAATCATGAATGAACAGTCTCTTAAGTCACGTAGAGTAAGCTAACTTTCATGTTTTGACTGGTCAAGGTTAAGCGGAAGCTTAAGTGGTTCTATATATTGTAAATGTTGGGTTTGTGAATTAACCATTCAGAACTAAAGCCACTGAAATTGCTTTTTTTGGTTTCTTTTGTTAACTGGGCTGACGGATAATGGTGAAGAAGTGCGTAGTGTCTCTCAAAAGGCCGGAAGTGGTAGTTTTTGCCAACCTTTTCACCTCAGCCGGCTTTGTTTTGAATGAGGCGAAAACATACTACTACAAATCTAGAATTTTTGTATCAGAGAATCATCTCGATACATTCTCTCTTACGTGGTTATTTATTTAAAACACGAAACGAAAATAGAGCCTGATCCCAGGAGGAAACTGATGAATCTTGGAGTAAAAAGATAAAGTCGTACCTTGAAGATCCAGATATTTCTCTTCTACCTTCCCGAGTCCAGTAAAATAATTCCATGTTCAGTTGAACAAATCGACCACACTTTTCCACCGTCTACACTCAGAAATCGTAGAAATGACGTCATGAAATGTTTAAAACTCAAGTGGAATCACGAGCTGCGGGCGAGCGGTTTCACCGCAAAGCTTTCAGCATTTCATGGTGTCATTTCTCTGATCTGTAACGGTATAGACAAGGAACGGACTGCTGTTGTTGCTGTAAAATTAAGAAATTTAAAGACCTGATTCTCACTAAGTTTCTCGTAAAGTCACGCTTTTGTGAGAGGGGAAGAAGAAATTGCTCTTTTTGTATTGCGCCATTTCCATTGTCTAAGCTCTCTTGTAGACGCTCTCGACCAATGAGCTCGCGAGAATTTCTGTAAGTTATTGTGACCAATGCATTAGCAATGTTTTTTAACTTAGGAAAACAAACAAGCGGAAGGGAAAAAAAAAAGATAGTGAGCTATATTTTTAATGGAGGTCTTATATATTAAAGTTCTTCCTTTGGAGGTCAAGGAAAGTATTAATAGAAGGATAAACGGCTGATGTAACCAAAGCGCAGTTTTCATTATTCCACTGAATAGCTAGTCTAATATAATTTCTCTAAAGTCGACATTTTTCGCCGTAGGTTTACCTGCATTAACATTTCAAATTCGGATAAAAATCTGAGGCAATCGAGCCTATGATTATTGTCAGATAACAAACTGAACATTGCTTTGTGTTTAACTCGCTAATGATTTCGTAGCATATCCTAGATTTTCTTTTTTTTCAGGAGACTATACTACCAGGTATTTTGTTGTTGATGAATTAAAATTTTTGATTATAAATAACACATTAAATTTGTTTCGAATATCGAGCCATGCAACAGGACTATGACATTATGCAAGATGAATTCATCCTGCACGCAAACTAATCTCTCATACAGGTATTGTATCGCCTCTGCCTTTCCTGATTAGCTGAAGCAAATACCTTTATTTTGATCTTATATCACTCCAATAAAAACCCTTTCGTAATGATACTCTCCGGAATGAGTGGCATTTTGCTGCGTAATGCTTCCTCCGTGCATACTTATATAACACACACAGTCAAACCAAAAGTGTGCGTCGTTTAATCTCGAGGAGGTTGTTTCAGGATGTTTCTGTCATTTTCACTTCAGGTTGGCGACCGCACTGGTCAAATTACAGCGCAGATGAACATCTCGGATTTGAGAGCTCTCCTTGGAATCGAAGACGAATCGAGAGAAAGGTAAATACCCAAAAGATTCTCTGGGATCTTAACTGGACTACCTTTACCTGTTGTTTTTTACCTGTTCGTTAGCATTGCGTATCGTAAAATACAACAGAAAGCTGTAAAATTCGGCATATAATTACCCGATGATATTAAAAGTGCCAGTTGAGCTTAAAATGTCACGAAGGTACAAATGAAATAAACAAAAATATTAAAAGATTCACTTAAAACCAGTCAAAAATCAGAGGACCTTGAGAAGGGTGTTTGCTTGCTCAGAGAATGGTTATATTTTACATAGTAACAAAGGTCTTTTAAGACGTTAAAAAATGCTCACAAAAAATGAAGTATTTGATTTGGCAATTAAAATTATCGGTGTGCATTACATAACTGAGTAAAATAAATGTCAAATATATCTTTGATTAATAAATGAAACAAAACAAACTATTTTAACTCTTTAAAAAATTATTATTTCGTGTGTGAACTACCGGACGTTAGATATCAAACAACCGGACGTTGCGTCCGGTGTCCGGTCTGAAACGAAACCCCTCCCATGTAAACTAAAAATACGCTCTGTGGAAAGTGTTTCGAGAAACGTGTTTTCGACTCTATACTGCAGAAACACCCAACTCCTATTAACGTGATTATTTATCTGTTTGTTTATCATTTTTTATTTGTAGCAATTCAAGAAGTGCAGCAGCAGAAAGTGTGAATCGCAGCAGTCCAGGTTCCATTAAACAGCTCTTCAATAGAAAGTTCAGCCACGGAAATGAAGGTAGCTTTCCAAACAGCATAATTTTAGATACAAAGGCATTACTCGACCTTAGCGTCACTCCACAAGTCCAGTACCAGGAACCAGTTCCACAGCAGTAAGGAGCATAAGCAACGACGAAGGCTACGGCAACCAAATCAGGAAAAATGCAATAGAATGATATTGGCAAAACAGAAACTTTGCACGTGCATCACGCTTTTTTGTACATTTCTTTGACGTCACTGCACAACTAAAGGTGATGTTACACGGGACGATACGCAACGACGATTTTTAGCGCAACACAGCCTTGCAATGTTGGAACAACGTTGCAACCATTCGAAACAATATCGCCACAATGTTGCAACGCTGTTTTGCGCTAAAAATCGTCGTTGCGAATCGACTGGTGTAACATCACCTTAAGACGTGAATCTGCCTAATTTCCGTTTTATGGAGGACCTCAACACAATAGAACGAATTTCATTTTCTTTTCTTGAACTTCAATACATTCCTTTAGAATTCAACTCCAGAAAAATTTGCCAGCATTTGAGGACATGAACAAGATGGAATAGGCGCGATTAATTTGGAAGCGACTCGAATTCACCTTTTAAGTGACGTTTTCGTAGCCGTCGCTGTCGGATCTAAGGGAGGGGGCCCGGGGGAAGCTCTGAGGCCAGCGGGACCTAGGCGATACAGTCACTTCGTTTACCAACCCTCCCCTCCCCCTCTGACGAGACCGAGGCCCCAAGGTACCTTGTTTCTGAAATTATATTCAGAGATCAGTTTGTCTTTGATAGGCCTCGTGTGTGCAAAAAAGATTCCTCAAGTTTAAGAGAGGATGTTCTTGTTTTAATGCAGCCTATGCAGAACGATTTTGATATGTTTTGGTTTTTGTTTCAGACAAGAAGAAAGTGGAAACAGCAACTTCGGCAGAAGTAAGTGATAAAGTAAACCATTCAACTTCGGGAACTTTAGTGCCCGATTTATTTTTTGTCCACTAAAACGTAAAATAAGGACTGGCCAAAATCCAGCCATATTAAACACACGCTTCATCATCAACGCATTTGTAGTGAATTTAAAAAACTGATGCATAAATGTTAAGTAATTGATTTGTCTTTTTATTGTTAAGGGAATGACCCTCCAATCTTTAAGTAACCATAAAAATATATTTCTCTCTCAGTGTGCACAATCGTCTAATTTATGTAAAGGCTCGACCTCAAATATAAGAAGCTTTTAGCGCAGTACTGTAGCAGATTACTTGAGCAGCTATCTTTCTCAGAATTGAGCTTTTCAAAAGAGCAAAATTTTGAAACAAGGCTAAGGTTTTTTTTATGTTAATTGATGGATTTGTTGATAGGTTGATGCTGACCGGAAAACCAGAATTATGACAATTATGGTGAAAAGTTCTCTTTGCGTCAAGCTTCGAAAACGCTGTGTCGCCTTGTGTTTTAAGAAATTGCTTGAATTGTGGGGGTGTCGTGGAAAGGTCTTGAACTTGATGACGAAAGGCCCGCTTTACGTATATCACTTCCTCAGGATGTCAACTTCCTTTCACCTTTTTTGGCCGTCAAAGTTGTTGTTTTGTATTAGGGAACTTGGCGATGCCAAGGAAACAGTACTGAACCAAGAAGATTCTCGTGATGATATTAAAAGTGCCAGTTGAGCTTAAAATGTCACGAAGGTACAAATGAAATAAACAAAAATATTAAAAGATTCACTTAAAACCAGTCAAAAATCAGAGGACCTTGAGAAGGGTGTTTGCTTGCTCAGCGAATGATTATATTTTACATAGTAGCAAAGGTCTTTTAAGGAGTTAAAAAATGCTCACAAAAAATGAAGTATTTGATTTGGCAATTAAAATTATCGGTGTGCATTACATAACTGAGTAAAATAAATGTCAAATATATCTTTGATTAATAAATGAAACAAAACAAACGATTTTAACTCTTTAAAAAAGTTATTCTTTCGTGTGTGAACTACCGGACGTTACATGTCAAACAACCGGACGTTGCGTCCGGTGTCCGGTCTGAAACGAAACTAAAAATAAAATATGCTCTGTGGAAAGTGTTTCGAGAAACGTGTTCTCGATTCTATACTGTAGCTTAAAACATTCCCAACACAGTAATTTGCAAAACACCCAACTCCTGTTAACGTATTTATTTATTTTGTTTGTTTATCATTTTTTATTTGTAGCAATTCAAGAGATGCAGCAGCAGAAAATGTGAATCGCAGTAGCCCAGGTTCCATTAAACAGCTCTTCAACAGAAAGTTCAGCCACGGAAATGAAGGTAGCTTTCCAAACAGCGTAATTTTAGATACAAAGGCATTACTCGACCTTAGCGTCACTCCACAAGTCCAGTACCAGGAACCAGTTCCACAGCAGTAAGGACCATAAGCAACAACAGAAGCGACGGCAACCAAAACAGGAAAAATGCAATGGGATGAGATTAGCAATACAGCAACTTTGCACGTGCATCACGCTTTTTTGTACATTTCTTTGACGTCACTGCATGACTAAAGGTGATGTTACACGGGACGATACGCAACGACGATGTTGGAACAACGTTGCAACCATTCGAAACAATATTGCCACATTGTTCAACGCTGTTTTGCGCTAAAAATCGTCGTTGCGAATCGACTCGTGTAACATCACCTTAAGACGTGAAGCTGCCTCATTTCCGTTTTATGGAGGACCTCAACACAAGAGAACGACTTTCATTTTCTTTTGTTGAACTTCAACACAGTCCTCCAGAAAAATTTGCCAGCATTTGAGGACATGAACAAGATGGAAGAGGCGCGATTAATTTGGAAGCGGCTCGAATTCACTTTTTAAGTGACGTTTTCGTAGCCGTCGCTGTCGGATCTAAGGGAGGGGGCCCGGGGGAAGCTCTGAGGCCAGCGGGACCAAAGCGATACAGTCACTTCGTTTACCAACCATCCCCTCCCCCTCTGACGAAACCGAGGCGCCAAGGTACCTTGTTTCTGAAATTGTATTCAGAGATCAGTTTGTCTAGGACAGGCCTCGTGTGTGGAAAAAAAGATTCCTCAAGTTTAAAGAGAGGATGTTCTTGTTTTATTGCAGCCTATGCAGAATGATTTTGATATGTTTTGGTTTTTGTTTCAGACAAGAAGAAAGTGGAAACAGCAACTTCGGCAGAAGTAAGTGAAAAAGTAAACCATTCAACTTCAGGAACTTTAGTGCGCGATTTATTTTTTGTCCATAAAAACGTAAAATAAGGATATCCAATATCCAGCCATCTTAAACACACGCTTCATCATCAACGCATTTGTAGTGAATTTAAAAAACTGATGCATAAATGTTAAGTTATTGATTTGTCTTTTTATTGTTAAGGGAATGACCCTCAAATATTTAAGTAACCGTAAAAATATATTTCTCTCTCACTGTGCACAATCGTCTAATTTATGTAAAGGCTCGACCTCATATATTGGAAGCTTTTAGCGCAGTACATTAGCAGATTACTTTAGCAGCTATCTTTCTCAGAATTGAGCTTTTCAAAAGAGCAAAATTTTGAAACAAGGCTAAGGTTTTTTTTAAGGTTAATTGATGGACTTGTTGATAGGTTGATGCTGACCGGAAAACCAGAATTATGACAATTATGGTGAAAAGTTCTCTTTGCTTCAAGCTTCGAAAACGCTGTGTCGCCTTGTGTTTTAAGAAACTGCTTGAATTGTGGGGGTGTCGTGGAAAGGTCTTGAACTTGACGACGATAGGCCCGCTTTACGTATATCACTTCCTCAGGATGTCAACTTCCTTTCACCTTTTTTGGCCGTCAGAGTTGTTGTTTTGAATTAGGGAACTTGGCGATGCCAAGGAAACAGTACTGAACCAAGAAGATTCTCGCAAACGCGCTCCATCGTTTAGGAGCTCAATACCACGTTCATGTTTTAAGTTCAGACAGAAAAATACATACCCATGTTATGTTCGTCACGTTCTTCGCAAAACTTTCACCTTGATGATTTGCTGTTTGCTTATTAAGCAGCTTATGATCATGAGTGGTCTTTCAGACAGTCTAGTCAGATCAGACATTGATATGAGCCATTAAGGTGTGGTCAAGGGGACCAACTGAACTTGGCCAACATTGTAACTATTTTGCTTAATGAGAAACCATTTGACACCGATAAATTTTGACCGAGTACCGGATGTCTCGAAACATGCATGGTCGCCTTTTTTAGTACTTCACCATGTTGTTGTTGTTTTTCGTTTTTGTCTTTCTTCACTTGTTTACACTTCCGAGGCCTGGAGTGTTGCTCGATATAGCGTGGGCGTTTTGTGTTCCTCCACCTACGAACGAACAGAACAAAAACAACAAATATTTCTTAATACTCACAAAACTTTACCGCAGAAATGCTTCGCGTGATTAATAAGCATTACTTTGCTTTTTCTAATTTCTTTGGCGAATAGAAAATCGCATCTATGTCGTTTTTTCTCATCAGTATTTTTTTTGGCAATACCCATTTTCCAACATGTCGGTCCAACGTCATCCACCCGCATTGTGATTGTGATGGATATCGTCCATGACAACGAAGATAATCAAACCGTCGTCACAAGTTGTATCCAAGAATGTTGGATTCTTTGAAAAGGCGCTCAAAAAAGAGAACTAAGATTCTGCAATTGTTAAGAATCCTTTATAGCTGACGTTCGGCACGTACGCCATCATACGAACGACACACAGCAGCTATAATTTTATTGTTGCTGAAAATATTGTATCTGTGTTCGCTGGGATCTTTTTAAGTGCCTTTTAGTGACTCCTCGGGGAATCAATATCACGAAAAAAAAACAATTGGACTGTTCTACCGCTCAAATGAAAAGTAGCTATAGAGACGGAAAAACATAGCAGTTTTTATTTCAACACATCTTTATTTCCTCCTTTTCTTATACTTTTTACAGGGCAAATAAGTTAATATCGCAATAATGAGAAATGTCTCGCCTGTTAGCTTCATTATCACGTGTCATACACTTTAGCTTTAAAGACCCGTACACAAAGCTCTAATCCGTCTGTTTTGTTTTTCGTCGATTTCGTTACGTCAAAGCTATGCCTGTCTCTTCAAGTGTCACTTAAGAGCGATGACGTATTACATAACAAGTCTAAGGTTTTATTAACAAGATTTTGAGGCCAGAATTCAGATGATATAGCGTGGAATAGCTGACGCTTTTCCCCAACTCTTGTCGGGGTTTCACTGATCAAGTTATAGCAAAGTTTTGACTGGTCGACTCTGAGATCTCTTGAGTATTATGGTATGGTAGTCACTTCTATCGTTCTGTGCTATGCTTTATACTTGTGGTGTTAGAAAATGTTTTGGAAAACTTTTCAACTGAAAAAGCAAAAACATTCGAAGTTCTTGCTAGTCCAATGAAATGAGAATTTTACGCCTTTGTTATGCTGTAGGAGTATTTCACTAACTTGTGACTCCCCTCTTCTCATAATTTAGCACTTTGGAATTGTTCAGAGTAAAAATAATGAAAGGAGTTTTTTTTCTTATTTTCTTCAGGGAGGCACCAAAGCTCGTTCGTCATCGTTGACCTCTAGAAAACCATTAGACCATGGTGACGTTGAAGTCCGTGTTCGCAGTCCTGAGGTAAGCTGAAAAATAATTTTTAAAAAAACTGTGGACTCGCAGTATCGGGTTTATTATGCTGGATGGCCTGCGAGCAGGCTTGCCTATGCTAGTCTAAGGTTGGTGATAATTTTGGCGGCAGGGCTGCCACCCCGCGAGGAAAGGCTCACTTGTGGAGTTCGGGGAAAATTATGGCAGCCAAACTCGCACAAGTGAGCTTGCTCGCAGGCTGTTTGCTGGAAAAGTCGCTGGAGCTTACTTTTTTTAAGAGTTAAAGCCAGGCAAACTGTTTTGTCAGTTAATAGTATAGTTTGGTCTCGGGGTGAACTCTATTATCTAATATTATCTCCATTATCTAACACTTATAAGCAGACTGAATGCAAATCGGCAGAAAGACTTTAAACTAAAATTTTGAAAATGCTAGTAAAAATAAAAAAATTCTAACAAATGTAAAACGTTAATGCGAGTGTGACATATGAGAAAAAGAACATTCATTTCTTAGATTGCAACCACTTACGGACTAAATAATTCGTCATATCGCTTTTTAGTACAATTCTCTAGTTTTAAATTATGCAGTTACTGTAAGTTCACTCATGCTTTATATTACGCAAGTATCGTAAAAGTTGTCCCTGAAAAATGATGCGTAACGTTATTGCTTCCCAGGCTATTTTTATTCCGTGACGCTCTTCTTAGTAATTTGCATCTAACCATTTGAGCTGTTCTATACGAATATATTTTTGCGAATCCTGACTCTTTCTCGGCATCTACTGACACCGTTTGATAGCCTGTCTTAACATTGTTCTGCGTAACGTTGTTACATTGTGAGCAGTTTAAACTCGTTTAAACGTTTCGTCAACATCATCTCAACATTCCATTTGTTCTTGAAATATTGAATAGACCGTTTCCTAGTTCCAAATACCCTCAATTTTAAAGTGGGACCAAGTGCAAGATTTTTCTTTTGAAGTGAGGTTTATTTGCATGAAAATAAAAATGAACATTTCCGAGTGTGCTTCGCCATTTCCGAGTGTCCTTCACACACAAATCATTGGCACGTTAAGTTGTTTTCATCACTTCTGTTGTAGCCGTTTCTTTCTTTTTTTAATTTCACGCGTTTAGAACTTAAATATTCAATTTATATTGAGCAAATTCCTCAAACCTCTTCTGTTTAAGTGGTGCATGACAACAACTTCATAAAGGTAAAAAAATGTAATTAAAATTACTCGGAAACAAAGAAACTGTAAGCGTCATTTTATATTGCAACTCCAAGTAAGCAGCCATGGTGGTCTTTACGAATGCTTGGAATTCTTTCTCGGTAAGCAGTGAGCAATATTTAAGTTTTTGATACCTATTCTAAGTTAAAATAACTTCCTGATGTAATAACTGCGATGAACCAGTTGGAGACTACGCTTTTCCATCGTTATCTTGAAGCCATTTCTAAAAAATGTATGGCGAAGATGCCGGATTAAAGATATCAAAAATAACTGATTTGATTTAATCTCGGCAATAACCTTCGGAAAAGAGGATCTGCCCCATTAGGACGCTGGTAGCTTGTAAATTAGCCGTTTTATTGACAAACGTGCCTTACGTATTTTTCACTTAGAAACTCTAATTAAAACTAATTAGTAGAAATTTAGAAAGTGCCTTTTATCTAGGATATTTGAATAACTCACTGGGGGACTTTTAATTTCATTCGTTTTGTTTATCTGCCACTGTCTGACTTGTTAGTATAATGAAAGTTTGTGTCTACCTGCTATCCAAAAAACGAAAACTAATGTTAAGACGCACTTGACCAACTCATTTAAGTATTGAGTACAACCGAAAGGAGTTTTACAAGAAGAGCCAGTAGTGACAGTTGTCAGCGGTCGGTCGGAGGCAGGTGCGCAGGAGTTCTCAATTTCGTTTATATGACGTAAGTTTCCGTCAGCGTGAGGAGTGTTTCAGCCACATTTGTTTGCCGTCCGCCGAGAGGTTTTTCCAGCAAGGTTTTCTAAAATATATTAAACTCGCAACCTTATTCTTTTCTTAACCTGACATCGTTCTTTTCCCGTCGTTATTCTTAGGCGAAAAACGATCACTCCTTGGACGAGAATTTCTTTGAGTTCCTAACCCGTTGCCAAGGTAACCGTATGGACGAACAGCGCTGCGAGCTACCTAAACCAATCGAAAAGAGCAAAAGCACTGAGGATATGTTAGACATGGTGGAACGTGTGCAAGGAGACAGAATGAATGAACAACGCAGTGACTTGCCTGCCGACGAAGACCCTTCACTGATAAGTACGTATTATATGAGCAATCGTGATATAATATTAGGGAACTTAAGCAGCGACGACGGCGACGTCAAAGAGAACGGCGAAAAAAACAATAGGTTTAGATTAGCAAAACCACAACTTTGCACGTACATCACGTTTTTTTGTACATTTCGGGGAGCAAGGGATGGCGCAGGGGTGAGAGCGCTCGCCCCCCACCAATGTAGCCCGGGTTCAAATCCCGGCGTCGACGCCATATGTGGGTTGGGTTTGTTGTTGGTTCTCTCCTTTGCTCCGAGAGGTTTTTCTCCGGGTAATCCGGTTTTCCCCTCTCCTCAAAAACCAGCATTTCCAAATTCCAATTCGACCAGGAATCAGGTAGACGAAGACCCACTTCGTGGATGTGCTACCCCCAAATCATTGTTTAATTTTGTTTAATAACATTTCTTTTCTGTTGTTGCACGTTCACGACATGAAAATACCATTCCCTAATGATCCCAAAAGGGGGGTGGAGATCAAGACAAGACATGACGCGCGCATCAGTCACTCGTATCCTAATCCACCCTTTTCTCACCTTGGAGAAAACTTATCCCCGGTAGAAGGGTCACCCGCCTACCCGAACAACCCTTGGCGAGCCAAAGTTTCAAAAAACTTGTCGAATATTTTATGAGAAACAAAAAGTTGGCTCGTCTAGAAGGGTGACCCTTTTTCGATGGTCGGGTCACCTTGTAGCCGGGCCTTCCCCATATAAACACTTTGGCTCGCCCAGCCGGGTCAACTCGGTCACGACGAGACAAGACTTTAAAAAGTTGTCTCGGAGGGTGACCCTCCTCTCCAGGACATCTCTTCCCAATAAAAACGAGGCCTTGGTGACCTTACATGTAACCAGTAGAATTTGATATTTTGCTGTTAGTTTTGTACTTGAAACCAATGTAAAGTTGTATCATTATTTTTCTTGTAATAAGGAAAAAGGTCCAAGAAGGGAGAAAGTGGTACCAGTGATGACGCCCTGTACGAAATGGTGCTGCGAAGTCAGGTAAGGTTTTTTTTTTCCTTCCTGTTAACGGACATGGAATAAATATGTAAGAAGTCAAGTTCAGTGTGAAATTATCCCCATTTTGTTTTATTATTAGCTTTTCCCAACCTTAGCGGATTTAACCTGAACTACAGTTAACAACTGAGTATAAGAACTTTGTGGATTCACGATTTTCACATAGACCATTGTTTCCAATTTCTCTCGGGTTTTACAGTCGTCCCAAGAGAAATCGAAGACAATGATTAATGCCAAAATGTTGGGGGTCAACAAGGTGCGTTATGGTTTATGTGAAAATGACGAATTTAGAGCCCAAAATCCGGTTGTTCAAACGCTGGACAGCGCTATCCACCGGATAAGTCAGTATCAGCGGATAAGTACTGGGAAAACGAATTGCGTTTTTCACTGGATAGTGATTTATCCACTGGATAAAGGAGCCAAGTAGCTGATTGGAAATTTGACCCCGTTAAATATGAACCTTTTCAGCTTGAATTTTGAAGGTTGTCCATTACGCACGAATAAATTCCACTTGAAACGCGAATAGATTCTTTTTCATTTTTGGCAGGGTAGAAGCAAAGATGAAATAGGTTTTTGTTTGATGTATGATCGGCCTGATAAAGTAAATTCAAAAAGCAGGCACTGCACGAGTAAAATGTACTTTACAACAACTACCTGTACTCTGATCTGTTGAGTGACCTAGTTCCAGTATGAATAAATCCCATAGCTACCCCTGAATAACATAAGAACCCTCATTTTCTCGAGGCCCACTAAACAAACTATGACTTTGTCTTCCCCCAGTCTCATCGTATTGAGGATCAGCGCTCAGAGCCTCCGCCTTCTGCGCCCACGGTACCAGACGAGGACTTCTTCGGTCTCATACTTCGCTTGCAGTCAAACAGAATGGACGATCAGCGGTCTTCTGCTCCTGGTGGTGCGAGGCATCAATTACAACCCAGGCGATAGTGGCTGCTTAATTGCCAATGTAAACTTGTACAAATTATATCTTTTAGAGTGATTAGTGTTCTCTAGCTGGTTAGAGTGGTGAAATACTCTTTTCATGAGTAAAACACGACATCTAACCACCAAGAGAAGGAAAAAGGTCAAGAAGCACCAGTGTGGCGTGAGATCGCGTGATAATGGATTTCGTTTCTTATGCACAGTACGCGTCGTCACGAAATTCCCTCATGACACCATGTAACGATGTTCCGTGACAAGGTTAAAAATGCGAGCAACGTGGACCCTAGCCTCTCATGTAGCTTCCCACGCAGACGTTTTTTTTTTCTCGTCACGCAGTCTTCCCCAACGAGGCGGGAACGCGTGACGAACCCCGCAAGAACGTCTACGTAGACCCATAACAAAAAGGTCGCGATAAGGATGGTCAGGTGATTAGGATTTTAGCCAATCTATTACAGTTACTTATTAAGCTAAGTGTAAAGATTTTAACGCCATATACGCACATGTCTAATGACTAGAAAGCCATTGTCCCTTTTAATAGTCACATGTCTTGTACGCGACAGTCACATGGCCGCATAGCATTCATAACGCCCTAGAATGGGGAATTCCAATTCCCCTATCCAGAAACCACAAGGGAATGGGGTACAAGCTTTCGGCGCAACTACTTCCGAGATCTTTGGGTTGGACAAGCGTTACTTGGTTGCCTTGAATACCATCGACCAATCGTAATTAACGCTTGTCCACACAAACGATCCCAGAGATCACTGCGCCCAAAGCATGTACTCATTCTCCCTAACGTTTCTGAAGGGGAGAACAACGTTTGGTCTTTTATTTTTCGAAATTCATTAAAGACAGTTATTTTACCATGGGTTGTTATTATCTCATTAGATATTTTTATGGGGAAAAGAATAATTTGCCATCACCCAATTTCGTAGATAACTGTACTTAGCGATTGTAAAATGCCAGTTGTCAAGTCTTATTTAAATCTTCGTTCGTGTTTCTTGCAGATTTAAATCTTCAAATTAAATACGGTTGCAAATGATTATTGTAGAGGGAATTTTATTCTTTAAAGGAAAGAAAACTATTTCTTAGAAGATGTATAGATTTTTACACGGATAAGGTCAGTGTTCTAATTCACGCCTAGTATTATTTTTATATTCACCATGTGTACAGAGAGCAAACCATTAAAGGAATTAAAATTCTGCTACTCTGGTGTATTGATTTTCGTGGCAACCATTCACCATTTTCACATAGACCATAACACACCTTGTCTGTTCCTGAAAGCCTGCTTTTCCATCTTCGTCCACGTACCTGCATGATACTAGCATCTTTACGGTCCGACGACGCCATGGCAGCGAAAAAGTCGCTTAAAAAGTGAATTTACGTTCTTCCAGTCTTTATCGCGATTATTCCTACCTATTTACTTTATCAAAAGTAGGCGAGCCCCCCTGGAGTTGAATTCCTAGAATAGACCTTGTCACGGTTTTCGACGCCATCTTGACGAGTAGGCAAACGCGTGAGAAATTACAGTGCTTGTATGAGAATCTAATGTCGAGTAATTTCCGTAAAACGGCTGTTCTGAAAAAAATATCAATTGTAAACTAAAGCTACAAGGCAAAGGATTGTCCTAAAAAATTTTGGGGGCGTACCTGTGCTTAAATTTCTCCAGAGGCTTGCTTTAGATTTTTGCATATATTTGTCTGTAATTTTCCCGGGACCGTTCTTACAGACAAATGTATAGAAAATTTTAAAAAGTGGTTCTAGGTCTTCTAGTGTATGTAACGCCCTCAAATTTTTTCAGGAGAATCCTTAGGAGTGAAGCTTTAGTTTACAAATCATATTTTTTTCAGAACAGCCGTTCCACGGAAATTATTCGACATTAGATTCTCATACAAACACTGTAATTTCNTCCAGTCTTTATCGCGATTATTCCTACCTATTTACTTTATCAAAAGTAGGCGAGCCCCCCTGGAGTTGAATTCCTAGAATAGACCTTGTCACGGTTTTCGACGCCATCTTGACGAGTAGGCAAACGCGTGAGAAATTACAGTGCTTGTATGAGAATCTAATGTCGAGTAATTTCCGTAAAACGGCTGTTCTGAAAAAAATATCAATTGTAAACTAAAGCTACAAGGCAAAGGATTGTCCTAAAAAATTTTGGGGGCGTACCTGTGCTTAAATTTCTCCAGAGGCTTGCTTTAGATTTTTGCATATATTTGTCTGTAATTTTCCCGGGACCGTTCTTACAGACAAATGTATAGAAAATTTTAAAAAGTGGTTCTAGGTCTTCTAGTGTATGTAACGCCCTCAAATTTTTTCAGGAGAATCCTTAGGAGTGAAGCTTTAGTTTACAAATCATATTTTTTTCAGAACAGCCGTTCCACGGAAATTATTCGACATTAGATTCTCATACAAACACTGTAATTTCTCACGCGTTTGCCTACTCGTCAAGATGGCGTCGAAAACCGTAACAAGGTCTATTCCTATCCAAGTTCAGAAAGAGCCGAAATTAAATTTCATCGTCGCTCGTCTACGTCCTCCATAAAATGTAAAATTAGGCAATTTTATATACGTCCTAGTCGTGCAAAAACGGCAAAAAAATGTACAAGAAAGTGTGAAGAACGTGCAAAGTTGTCTTACCTTCTACACCTTTTGTCTTTTTGACGTTCTCGTTGCCATGGCGTCGTCGGATCGTTAAGTCCCTGTTTTTCACCTTACGCAGTTGCGCTGCGAGAGGATGCACATTCAAATAAAAGATTCCCGAACTCAACAGGCGTTAATCCGTGCGCAGTTAAGCTAAGTCACAATTTTTTCTGGATTTTTAAGTTACATTTATTCGTGATATTGACTGTTATAGACCCATATATATACAGGAAATAACTTCCTTTTCTCCAACCTGTCCTAGGCTCCCCCAGTCCTCGTCCGTAGTTTGGTGCAAAGGACGGAGGGTCTATCGTTCTTCTCTTTTCCCCTTTTCTCGAGTCATTCGCCTCGTCTCGGGTGATTTCTCAAGGTCCTGGGAAGGAGGATATGTCAACTGCATGACTGAGGTAATGTAGGAGCTGCTCGTAAGGTGTTTCCTCATTGGTCAAAGAAAACAATACCACTTTATTGTTTATCATTATTTCCCATTGTTTGACGGTTAGGGCACCAAACCAATTGGCTTTTAGGGTTAGGAGAGCTGCTGCATGACCGGCTCTACTTGTTGGGAGCACGTCATTAACTTTCTCAGAGCTTTACGCATTCTTTTGTTCCTTCCAAAATTCACCAACGGGTTTAACAGCCCGTTAAGCAAGAGAAGAAAAACGCTATATCCAGCATAGGCTGGAACATTTGGCACGTTAGCTGTGATTAAAACCAAAGGAAGAATGGTACCAGGCAGAAAGAGCACCACCAACAGCAAAAGAATCCAGGCTACAGTGTTGGCCAGTCGTTTTTCCCTTTCATATACCTTGCGTATGTTAATAACTTCCTCGGGGGGGCGTCTTGTTACAGAACAAGAAAATATGAGAGAAGATTGTACAAAATATGCAAAGAAAATAAAACAAAAAAGCAATGATTTTGCCAAAAGGGAATGGACCATCGGACAAGCTTTCTAGGTACAACAAAGATGCAACTACCACAGTTGCAACCCACGGGAGACCTATCATCTTAAGGGCGCGAGATTTAGTCATGTGAGCACGGTACCACCACAGCTTTCGCACCGCTAAGTAACGGTCTATGCTGATAATTGCCATATTTCCGAGGGTTGCTTGTATAGACACACCAGCAATGAGAGGGTTGGTTGTATTGTTAGGACACTTGTGTTCGTGTGCTAATACTAGTATGACTCCATAGAGAGCGTTCAAAGCAAATATTACATCAGTGATAGCCAAACTGCTCAGCATTAATTGTGGAGGGTGTTGCCGGAGGGATTGGGTGTGTGCTACAGTGATAACAACAAATGCGTTACAAACGAGTGACACAAAGATCACCAGTATTTGAGCAGGGATGATGACATAGTTGGTGATGTCTCTTAACTGTAGCTGGGTTTCCTTGTCGGAGAGGGCAACCATCAAGCACTTCTGATAAGGAAACAAGCTTGTGTTTTCTGCAGCCATCTTTTATTTCCTGAAACGCAGAGTCAAAAACATAGGCTTAGAAACACATTTCATGAAATGCGGAGATTTCTCAAAAATTCACCTCTTTGCATAGGACAATGAAATTGGGTCGAGTTACCATAAAATTCCGAAAATGAGCCCCGGGGTTTATTACATTTTTCAAAGGCCCTTTTTGAGGGGCTTTTATGCGGAGGGGCTTTATCTACGGAGGGAAATTTGCGTTTGAAAATCGATTGGGCTAGCCTTATAGCTGGAAGTAAATGTACAGTTTTTGCTTTGTTTTACTTTGTATTTGAGGGTAATTTTCCAAGGACAAGCCCCTTAGGGGGCTTATATTTGGAGAGGCGATTTAACGGAGGGTTTTTTGCGTTACCGGTTTGGGAGGGCTTATATTTGGAGGGGCTTATTTTCGGATTTTTACGGCAACTTTCGCTTCTGGGACTGTTACTAGGGATAGGGAAAAAATAGAGAGAAGAAGTCGTTACGTCACGTTGCCATGGTAGCAAAACTGCTGGATCTCAACAAACCGTGTGGTCCTGCAAATAACGAAATTAAAAAAGGAAAAATTGACTTGTATGACTTTCCCCGGCTGAGCATGATTGCACTCAAGAACAAAGAGATACCCCATACTTTTCTTCCATCGTTCGACAATTGACATGGTCGTCTCTGTCACACTTTTCTTCTCTATTGGCCAATAGCTGACCGGCGTGTCCACAGTAACGATCCAACAAATAACTGTATAATATTTGCATTGCATACCCATTGTCCCGTCAAGGGAACTAAGTTATAGGAGGAAACCGCGACTGCCAGGACAATATGTATAGGCATGCTAAGTAATGAGGGTATGCGACCTCAATCGCCACTAGGGGTGGTGGGAGGGGCGAAACTTGAAATCACTTCCACTGAACTCCGTTGAACTGGCCAAGACCAATTAATTCTAACCCGGGACCGCAATGCATCATGCCACCAGCGCGCATGCCCGACACGACGGAGTTTAAAGATTTTCTTATTTCCCGCGTCAAGGGCCAATTGTGTATGCAGTGAGAATAGTATTCGAAGAACTTTTTGACATCATTACATAAACTGCTGATAATTTGATGAAATGTGACATTATACAAATTACATTTATTTGGAATACTCAAGTAAGAAGAAGCTAAGAAACACCCAGCTTATACTGTTCACTTTTTGTGGAAGGTCTTTACCGATTTTCTTCTTATTTGCTTTATACTACTACATGAGAAATTTCTGCCATTTGATTGGCTTAGAGCAGTGTTATTTCAGCTTAATTTGAAATACCTACATGCGCAAATTACAAGCCTTTTGTGGGTAGTAGTATAAACAAATAATAGCATGATTTGAACGTGATATTTTGCATAAATACCACTTGTGATATTTCAAAATTGTCTCAAATTTAACTCGCCTGAACGGCTCGTGAAAAGACGTATAACAATTTCGAAATATCACTCGTGGTATTTATGCCAAATATCACTACAAATCATGCTATTACCTATACTAATTGCTATCGTTGCACTCAACCCACTAACATAGAGAAAAGCCTCCGCTCAAGGCAAGCTAAATTTCCAGGAGGAAAAAGAGCCATTATTGGATAATGCTGCTGTTGAACGATTAAGTGCACTTGATTTTACAAAGATAAATCACATTAATATGTAAAAGATAAGGCGGGTTTTAAGGTGCCGCCTAAGATCGGAAAACCAAACGAAATAAAAAGGATTTCAGCTGTTCATTTTGCCAGCTGTTTGAGCAAAAATTTAGAAAACTAAATATATCTTATGTAAGAATGAATTCTGATTTAAAAATTCAAATCGCTGGTTTGAAAGATACCAGCAGGAAAGTTTTAAAAGATTCTGTCGAAATGAATTTTAGTTTAGAGCTGAAAAGTAGTAACTTGGATGGAAATGGTTCACGGTAACTCAGAATTAAGACCTCTCCGAAGCAATGATATCCCCTGTCTTGCTCAAAAGGTTTTTAAAAAACGAGTGGATGAAATTGGATTTTAATAAAACCAGCAAACTAATCACCAATGCCATTCATACGCGGCAAAACTGAAAACGCTTCTTATTTTTCCTGGTATCCGATGCGCCACAATTCGCCTAATAGAGTCACGTGTGTGCGGACGAGTTCCTTGACTAAAAAACAAGCACTTTCTTTGTGAGAATTACTCTTTTTTGACTTTCGTCCGAATTTACGGCTGAACTGAACACCTTCTAAAGGAAGCCATTAGTTTTTTTAATACAGGGACTCATTTTGGGGCTTAAGGAGAAGCTTCTAAAGTGGAATTTTTTTTCTAATAATAAAGAAACAATGCGAAATTCTGCTTAGTTTTTGCATAGTTTTGACTGACGGGTTTCATAACCATTCCACTCAATTAACTATGGTTTTTGTGTTTCCAAAACTTAAAACTTTACATTCATTTATACGATTGCAACACCCCTTCCTTCCCAGAAAAGTAGGAGTTTGAGCTAAGTCGGTTGAACACATACTGAAGTGATAATGAAATACAAGAGGACGAATAAATATTTGAACTTACATCGAGGAGTGAATATAATAGAGTAAATAACGCTCATTTTAACAAAATTATGGAAGAGAACATGACGAAGGATTTGTTTCAGCGAAAATGATTAAGTTTTTAGATTTTCAGGAATTAGCCAAATATACGCTAACAATATATTTGAAAGCGGCCCTGTGAGACAATTTCCCGCAAGCGTGAACACCTGTCATCTAATCAGAGTGGACTAGACAGGATTACTTCTGTCAGTTTTCATTGTGGTAATCATGATCAGCCAGGGGCACCCGACGGTATTTTTCCGTAAAAAAAAACTGTTCAAAAGAGAAAATATTGCCTACACATTTCTAAAGCTCGACAACGTCTAAAACTTTCAAGATAACCGTTCAATTCGTCAGTATAAAGATATTCGAAGATTTCTTTCTACATACTTACGCTCTTCGGATGTTGTGTTCTTCTCATTTTATTACAAAGATGTTGCGATTATTGTTTTTTTAATAAAAAAGGTCTCTTGAAAATTTCGGTTCAGAGACTGAGAGACAAGACGTCCCCTAGAATTTTCTTATAAAAGTACGGCTACTACGTCTCGCTCTTGACCGGACCCATAAGGATAACTAACAGTCTAAGATGAGATAAAAAGCCACCTAAAACTTTTGACACGACCAAACTGTTCCCCCAAGATATCCGAAAGGATAAAAGGAGTTTAGGGCAGCAACAAATTAATCAAACACTTCCCAGGTTTCTAAAGCATAGAGAAACACTTTGAGACACTTCGGCGAATCGCTATGTACTCTCGTCGAGATTACATTGAACTTGACTGCATGAAAACACATTCAAGTTTCCTCTGCTTACTACACGTCTAATTTTTAACCACACCAGTGAAGAAGGGTCAAAACCTGTTAAATGTACACGTGCAGATATAATAGCTCTTGCGTAGAAATTCGCCAGTAAATCGCATCTAGCTTACACGTAGGCTTTAAAAGGGTTTTAATGTTAATGCAGTGCTCGAAACATTTGCTATTTTCATTGCGGAATCTCTCAATGATAAATATTTCCCTTGACCATTTGCGGCAAGTTTTCTCCAAACTTGCCGGTTTTTTTTTTCCAGTCTATAAATATTCTTCATTTTCGATCTTTCTACGCTTTTCAACTCAGAAGAAGATTGTTTCCAAAATTCGGAGCACTAAAAATACATATTTTAAAATTCACTCATATCAAAATTCCTTTAAAAAAATTCATAATGAAATCCTACAGTCTGGCCAAATAACTCCCTGACTCTCTTATAACTTTACCAAGAACTTATATTTTCCTTTGCTTTTGATTTCCCTGACATAAAGGGAAGTTAAAAAAAATGTTTTTTCCCGAACTTTTTACTAAACATGGCGACTCTGGATTTTTCTAGTAGTTCAACTTACTTTCAAATCCAATTGTATGTAAGTTATACTCCACTAAATATATGCAATTACCCGTTTTCAACGCCGGTTAACGTACATCACCAATAAAAAAACGTTTTTACCTTGATTCGTTCGGTTAGCTTCGTGCTGCGTCTAAGACGAGAGGTTATTTGTGCACAAAATGCCACTGGAACAACACAATATTGCTCTTAAGGCCACCGATTTTTTCACATTTGAATGAGTTCATTTACGGATTATTTGCGGATCGGATCTCACCTCACGATTCAATTATTGGCCATTGCTAACTAAGGTGAACGTTCAAAAGATATAACAATTGTCAGGAAAAGAGTGAGTTTTCGGAAACGTCATTAATTTTAACTTCCCTGATCTTTATCAATTGTTAATTTGATTTTGAATGCATTTTAACTTATCTCCTTATTGATATGGCAATGCCCACTGCCTGACAGAGCTAAGTCTAGCGAAAATCAGTCTTCATGCAGTTTAACTTGTTTAAATCTTTACTATTTTAAAAGGAATTATGATAAACTGTAATTTTCATCATTTTTAACTGTCCGTAAAACTAAAAAATGTATTAATAAGTTATTTTAGCGTTTTGGGGGTCTGTTTTTAGGTGAGCGGTGCATGCGCGTAGTAACTCAGTTGCAATCTCTACTGAAACAATTGCCAGCGAAAAATTTATGGAACTCTAAACAACTGCGGTGATTATCACGGTGGATGTACTTTAGCCAGAAAAATAAAGGCAAATGAACATATACTGTCTAAAAGACTAAAGGACAAACAGGGAAGGAAGGCTAATACTACCGTAAAAAATGAAATTCAAAAATTGTTTGAATGCAGAGGTCTGTAGCCAGACGTCACTTAAAGTGTAAAATAAAACAAAACTGCATGCAGGGCTGGCACTACGGCAAAGGGCGAATTTTGTTAGCCGAAATATTGGCCTATAATAAATCAGCCTTTTGCCGTAGTTCAAGTCCTGCATTCAGTTTTGTTGTAAAAAATGACCTCTTACTAGCTTAGTTACTGACAACAACCTGGCTCACCAATCCATGCAACAGAGCAGT